GTTAGAACACTTCCTGGCTCATAGGGAGTAAGTAATTTAAGGAAATAATGGACAGCTACAGGGGGAAGTTACTAAATGCACAAGCTCATACAAAAATCTTTTTAAGAACCTTTTTCAGGTACTGGTAGATTATGGAAACAAAAATCTTTTTAAGAACCTTTTTCAGGTACTGGTAGATTATGGAAACAAAAATTAGTAAGGCTATAGAGACTCCTAATAACACAGTTAACAAACTTGATATAATAGATATACTAAATTCTGCCCATAACAAGGAATACATTTTTATGATACATTTATAAGTATTGACTGCAATTAGGTAATAAAGCAGGTCTCCACAGTTCTAAACAACTTATGTCTATATCCACAATAAAAAGGTAATCTTCAGAAATCATATGTTTGGAAACTAAAAACAATCACAAACTATCCATGGATCAGGGGAAATCACAGTAGAAATATCAGGACTTGTGAAATTTAGGTAAAGCAAAGTAAAACCTAGAGGGGAACTTGTAGTCTTAATGCATTTATGATAGAGCAAGAAATGCTCCTAATGTATTAAATAAGCCTTATTGAAGAAGTTAAGAAAAGGACAGGGTTGAATGCAGAGAAAATAATAAGAGCAGAAATAGAAAACAAAACAAAACCCAGAGATGATAAAAAGTTAATTTTTTATATTCATAAAAGATTTTTAGAAGGTTGCCCAAAAGTGAAAAAGACAGGGTGTAAGTAAACAAAGCTAAGAACAAGAAAAATAGGCAATTTTAGGGATGAAAAATATCTGGAAAAGCATGCACAACTTTAATGCTAATGATTTTCAAAACTTAAATGCTCATTTTCTTGAAAAATAGACACTATCAGGACTAATTCAAGAGGAAAGAAAATTTGAATAAACCAGTAAGTATAGAAAAAATGACTGAAAAGGATGCACATTAGCAACCAAATGCAATGTGTGGAACTCACTTAGATCCTAATTCTAACAAACAAGAGTGTAAAAGTTTATGAAATAATTGAAACATTCATTGGATATTTGATGCTACTAGAAATTATAAACGTTTTGGACATATTGGTGGTTAATTTATTTTTTAGGAGATACATACAAAAATATTTACAGGTTAAATGATAATGACATTTTGGATTTGCTTCTAAATAACAGAGTGTGGTGGTAGAAAAAATGTGGGTTTCAGTATAGATTGCACTGTTCACAACAGCTACTAGCCATATGTGGCTATTTTAATTAAAATTAAGATAACATTTTAGGTCTCAGTCACACTGTATTTTGCACTGTAGTACAGTACAGGAAATGTCTATCAGGCAGAAGTTCTGTTGGATAGAGCAGGTAAAGATGAGACAAGTTTGGCCACATGTTGATAATTTTTGAAGCTGAGTGATAAGGTTTCATTTTATTTCCCTCTCTATGTTTGTATACATTTGAAATTTTCCATGAAAGGAAGAAACAAAGGAAAAACATGCATGACTTTGTTAAGAAAATTACAAAAGATTTGAAAGACTTGAAGCTGTACCTTTTCATGAATGGAGGGACTCCATGTGAGGGATTCCGTTCTCTCCACATTAATCTGTAAATTCAGTTCAGTTCCAATCAAAATCCCAATAGCCAAGACAATCCTGAAAAGATTGGGAATGGGGGTTCTCACTCTAGAAGCTATCAAGGCTTATTTTGAAGGTATAGGAATTAAGGAAGATGTTATATCATTGATGTAAGGTTAGAATGGATCAGTGGAACAAAATTGTCCAGAAACAGACCCTTGGTGGATTAGGCCTTGTTGTATGGAGGAGTCTTCTCCACTCAATGGTCTAGTAATCAGTGATCTTGGGATGTTTGGTTTTAAGAGTATGAGGATTTGATTTTAGACATTCTGGGTTTTATGTGTTTATGTACATCAAAGTGGAAACGTACATAAGGCAGTTGAATATAGATGTCTGAAGCTTAGCAGAGAGCTGGGTTAGTTATAGAGACTTGGGAATCCTAAGCTTATAGGTAAAGCTTTGTGAGGAAAAAACCAAAATTACTCAGCCAGAGAATGTAATGTGAAAAAAAGAGGACCACAGACGGAACTCACTGGAACACTAATATTTAAGGGCCAGCTGGAGGCAGCAGAGCCTCCAGTAAGAGCAGGGGCCATGCTGTCTTATGCCCATCTCAAGTTTCCATCACTGACAGATGCTTAGTAAATGTTCATGGAGTGAACAGTGGGATGGAGCTAGCAACGTGAGAATAAAACTAGAAGACAGGGTGTTGCAGCAGTGGGTGGACAGAGCAGTCAGATCTTCAAAAAAAGCAAGTTAAGATAATGACTGTGAAATGGATTCAGCTACAAAGACATCACTGACTGGTGGCCTTAGGGAGTGCTATTTCAGTGCTGGGGAAAGAATCTTACCAGGGAGGTGAGGGAAGAGGCAGTAGCTAGGGGCTACTTGGACAAGGGAGGTTTTTCCCCAACCAATCACTTGGCATTTTATTTTTCTGTTGTTGTGGGAGAACATTGGACATTCTGTGTTTAGAGGGGAGGTTTAGAAAGGGCTAAAAGCAGGGACAGTGTGATGATTAAGAAGACCAAGGCAGATAATTAATGAACCCAGGCCCCCATGGAAGGAAAGAAGATGAGACCTAGAATATAGATGGTGCATTTCCTTTAGAGAAAGCGGTGAGATGTCTTCCTCAGAAACAGGAAAGATTAATGCATATAAAGATTCATCTGGAAGTTGGAAAAGGCAGCATAAATGAACATATTTTTGCAGGCCACAGCAGATTTACCGTGCAGTCGTGAAGCTTACATTTTAGGGCACCTTACTAGCATTGGGCCCCTGTGAGAGTCGCCAGGAACTGTGCCATGCTAGGCAGGGAGGAAACACCAAACACATTTTTTTATAAGCAGTTCTGACAAACTGATTAATGAAATTTCTAAAAAAAATTATCAACAGTTCTTAGACTGCAGTAATTTATTGTGATCTCTTCCTCATTCTAAATAACTCATGGTGGTACCTAATTTGATAATTGTGATTTTCTGTTTTTTTTAAAAGCTCCCCTCCCCCTCCTTGAATAAGTGTTACGCCCCTTAATACTTGATCTATCCTTGCTTGTGGGTATGGGGGCAGCAGGTGAGGGAGCTCTTAGTCTTAATTTTCTGAGTGAAATAGGAGACAAGACCCCTTGAGAGGGATGGAGGAGGGTGGGAGGCTTAAGAGGTGTATGGGTTGTTTGAGAGGGATGGAGGAGGGTGGGAGGCTTAAGAGGTGTATGGGTTGTTTAGAGCAGTCCTTGTGGGGGTGAGAAGAGAACTGATTAGGGACAGCAGAAATGATTCTGAGGGCCACTCCCAATTTGTCATTTCTTCTCCCTCTCTCCTCTCCCCCATCCCATTTTGGCTGTCCAAGTGCAGGAACAGAGAAAACATGTTTCAGGGTTGGGTTGCAGGCTAGGAGAAAGAGGAGGGGTCCAGTAGAATGAGGGGGCAGGCAGAGAGGGGTTGATGTTAGGAGCCTTGCTGTCAAGGCTGGATGGGAAGGAAAACCAGGAGATGGGCTGTTTGCTTCCAGAAAAGCAAGGGTGGAGGGATATTTGAGGCTGGTAAACAGAGAAAGAATCAAGACTCTGAGAGAGTTGAAAGTTCCAAGTGGAGCAGTTTGTTCTGGAGAAGATTGTAAGTGCCAATGATGTCATCTGAAGAAGTCCGGAAGGAAATAAGATGAAGTATATTTCTAGAATACTCAGCTTTATACCCTGCACATGGTGGGACGGAAGCCTGCTGGGAGGAAGTGCATTTCAGGTAGTAGCACTGTGAGGGTTTTCAGGCCAGAAAAGTAATAGGAAAGAGTATGTGTATAATGTTTTATAGTTGACTGCTTTCATAGTAGGTGCCAGAATGGAAAGAAGCAGTAGGTATTTTTGCTCTGCATTTTTGTTACAGTCAAATTTTCATGTAGTAACTCAAATGCACATCTATACCCAAACTCCTGGCTTACATTGCATTGTGCCCTGGTTTCATGAGCGCCTGTGCCACTGCAGTCTGTCATCATTACCTTTATCATGATACCCCACAGGAAGCAGTAGCACCCCATTAAGCAACAGAAAATAAGAACCGATGGCCTTTAGAACAGTGACATTTACAGGTTTACCTGTTACATAAACTAGTTTGCTTAGCCATCAATTGATATACTGGAATCACAAGAAAAAAATTTAAAAGCTTTTTATTTTGTGTTATTTCTAACATACTTCTTACATATACATACCAAGTAATTTCCCCCAATCCCTCTAAAGCTGCTAGGTTTTTTTTTTTTAGGTTTTTATAATATGAACCAAAGGACCATTTCTCACATGAGTCCCTCACAGGTATCTTCCTTCTTTTCCCTTATAGCAGAAGAAAAAGAGGAGAAAAAGATCTGTCTCATCCAAAAACAATCTGACAGATTCTAGAATACTGAGTTGTTCTAGAAACCGTTGTATCATATTTAGATCATCTTTACGCAGTTGATGAAATAGTTGAGCAGCAGTCTTCCTTCTTTGCGAGGATGCCAACAGTTAGCAATTAAATTTCAAAGATTTTAAACAATGTTGGACATCATTCTGAAGAAGCTAGAGAAAATCTAACTGCCTCCATGGTTTCTGGGTGTCATTCAGAGCTGCTGTTCATTTCTGTAGGGCCTTTAGTCATCAAATATAAGTATCTATATACACGTGTTCTGAAAAATACATTTAAAAGTTTTAAAATTCCTATGTTGATATTCTGATTAATAATCTGTTTTCCTTTTCCTACTAATCATTGGTCACAATTCGATGCAATCTGAAGAAGAATCCAAGTACTAGCAAAATAATATTCTAATAAGTCAGCTTTAAGTTTTTCAGGGAGAAATTTTTTTTTTAGTTTAAATTTTTCTTTCTTGTCTTGAAAAATCTAACACTGTGACTGTGATGTGTTCTTGTAGTTACATAAATGTTTTTAATTAGATGCTAAATTAAATTGGTTGTAATTGTTCTAAACACACAGAATGTCCCTGGCTGCTTATTCTGTCATCTGTTGCAGAAGAATAGGAACCTCCACTCCTCCACCAAAAACCAGCACATACTGGAGAGATTTCAGTGAGTACAGCTTAAACAACACTATTTTCTTATAAAAATAGTGATAGAATTATGGTTCAGTTTCTAGGGTGGTCCACAAAACCTTGTTTATCCCATGATAAATCTCAGATTTGTTTATATCTTTTCTATACTAAAAGTCCTCCCCAAATCTGTAGGAGCCAATACTCCTTCTTCTTGGGAATCTTTTCCCTCCCCTACATTTCCTGTCACATTGGTACTCATCCTTCTGAACTTGAGTATCACTACACTCTCATTAAGCTCCTTAAAAACAAAGTGTCAGCAGCATGTATTAGGTTCTGGAAATACCATGGTGAGCAAAGATGTGCTTGCCCTCCAAAAACTTAGGATCTTGTACTAGTCTACTGTTATTTTATTTGTAAATCTTAATTTACCTTAGTACTAATGTTTACTTATAAAATGAGATGATTGGCCTAGATCATCTTTTATTCATTTGGTAAATATTTATTTACCATCTATTATGTGTCAGATACTATTCTAGGCCCTGAGGCAACAACACTGAATAAGGCAAAGTCCCTGTCCTCACTGAGCTTCCTTTTGGTCTTTAAGACAAATCTATTTTAGGATAAATCCTTTTGATCCAGAAAATTGTATGGTTCTGTATTTTAAATATTAAAAGAGGACTGAGGACAGAGAAGGGAGCTTTTCTTCTCTCATCATTCCTGCAGAACAAACTTAAAATAGTGAATATACTTCAAGGTAGGAGAGAGGGTTGTGAGGGCCCAGTGAAAAAGAAACATTTACTAAGGTGTTGCCAACACCTTGTTTTGCAGGAGCTTAATAAATAGCTGCTCAGTGAGAGCGTAGTAGTAACTCAAGTTGAGAAGTATAGGTACAAATCTGACAGGAAACAGGGGAGGGAAAGAAGTTATGAGTAGTAGCAGTTCAGAAGGAAAACGGGCTGCTCCTGGAGAGGGTGGTGGGTGAGGAAGTCCAGGAAGCCATCACAGAATGAAAAACATCCCTGAGGAGCTGCACGCTCAGGAAGCTCTGTCACGCTTCTGCTCTCAGACTGCCTGGGCTGTCTTCTTCCCAGTTCTGGAACCACTACTAAGGTCCTAGAGTTTGGGAAGAACAGCCATCTCCCTTGCCTGATGCATAGGGAGGTCGATCAGGAGAGTTCCTTATCCCTCAAAGAGGAGAAATGGGTTCTTGGCAGCATAACTTGAAACTCTGAACAAAGGGCTACCTCTGTACATACAATAAGTTGTAGGTTATGTACATTTTTGCAGTCTGGCCGCAGTATCTAACCATCACAGGTAAGGTACCAAATGAGATTGTGTTCAGCACACATAACAGAGACTTGACAACAGTGGCTTAAATTAGTAAATTTTTCATTTCTTTTACATAACAGGTCAGAATAGAGACAGTTCAGAGCAGGAATCACAGTTTAGTAATCCTCCTATCATCCTGCTCCATTATCTTTATTGTCCTCATGGTTACAAGGTGGTTGCTGAATCCCTGGACATCAAGAAGGCAGAAAGACTGAAACCTGTCTTACAAAGTTGTATCTTTTATTTGGGGAGGGATTCCCACCTGTAGTTCTTCCATCTATATCTGATTGGTGACAGCTGTGTTGGAGTCAGACCTAGCTGCACAGGAGTCTGAATTTGCATATTTTTAGATAGTAATCAGATTGTGTTAGCAAGGACTTAGAGACTTATGTGTATTGGATAGGCAACTAGCTGTGTCTGCCACTACGAGGCTTTTATTTAATATTAAAAAAAATGTTTTTCGAGTTCCAAACAAAAAATTTATAAACTTGTAGAATGTAACCTATATTTTAGATGGGGCTGTGTAAATATGGCACTTAACCACCAATCATAATATCGTTACTTTGGGAAGAGTCATTTTATGTCCTCACTTGACAAATGTAATCCCCTCACTATAATGCTAGCAGTGATGGGGAGAATTCTGGCCGCCCATTTGTTTAATCGGTTGCAAACTAAAAGGAGTCTTTAGGTGAGTTAGCTTCCTGGATGGTACATTCAGTGGGAGCACTATAGTCTGGCAGTTATCAGTAGTGCAACAGGAACGGGGCTCTCTACTGACTTGGTGGGTATGACAGAATAAGAGGTGGAGGAAGGGGACAATGGATATGACATGAGAATAATGAGTAGGAAGTACAGGTTGTATTGGTTTGTTTATTTGCATCTGGGGATAAAAAGCCATGTGTTTGTTGATAGCCACTGATTACATTAAAGGCAAAATATCAATAACTTCTTACCTGAATATATATGATAGGGGTAGAGCCTTACACTGTTGCCTGTTTTCTGTTACACTTTAAAAATGAAATTCATCATATTGACTTTTTCCTTTCTTTTGAAGGAAATATAATAAAGTTTACTGGATCACTTATTTTAGGGTAAGTGTCAACTATGAAATTCATTGAAATCTCAGTGGAAGTGATTTACAGGTAGCATGGGGTAGTGAAAAGGGTACAGATTTCAGTATTAGATAAGTGTAGTAATCGCTGGTTCTAACACTTCAGTGTTTTCTTTATCCACTTACCTTTCCTCTTGAGGAGTGTTTTCTCCTGGGTCCAAGTGTACAGTGGGGATTCTGCACACCATGCCCGGGTCGTCTGAGGAAGGTACTCGACACATCCAGAGCAGGCACTTGCTAATTACCTTTCACACACCTACAAGCACATCTTGCATTAGGTTTTAAAGTAAGTGAAGGAGGTAAAATCAACTACAGTCAAAATTATTTTTGAAAATCTCTTAAATCACATTAGAGCTTTCATGAAAGGAAATTGAGGCTGACCGAGGAAGCCAACAGATGACATCTGCCATCTTATGCTCTTTCAGGGACACGTGCTTAATGAATGGTGTGACCATCTTTTTGGCAGGGGGTGTATATGTTAAATGGATGTCTAGTACTGTTCTACTGTGTTTACTAATAATACTATTTTTCTCTAGTATAAATATAAAACCAACTCTTAGATGCTAAAATTACAAAGGAGACATATTTGGCATTTTATCTAAATACATACATTTCTCCATGACATTGTAATGTAAGGCAAAACATAGTTAGATGGTGTTTCCTTTTGAATCATTCCAGACAAAAGACAAATGTATATTTTTTTCTATTATGCACTTTCTTTGTCTATATCACAATTATATATAGCGACACAGGAAAAATTAGTGGAATATAGTGAAATATTCACACTTAGGAATATAGTGAAAAGTCACACAATTTCTAGTAAAGAATTTTGTCTTTCACGGAAAGCATGACAAAAATACTGAAAACATTTGCATTTTTGGCTGCTCAGATAGATGCCCAAGAGAGGAGAGGATTCTCTAGAGCCTCTTCTCTATTTCTCTGGTGCTGGACAGTGGCTTTTCTATCTTACTGCGTCCGCTGTAAGACAGAAACCAAAGGTCAAGATAAGGCTTAATATAACTGATGTTACTAAGCTCAGAATCCAGACAGTGCATCCTTTGTGTCTGGACTTAGGGAGTATGTTGGTCAATACAGTCAGAAAGAAAACGTTTCATTTTGGGTACATGACAGACAACATTGTATTTCACATTTAAAAGTTGACTTTAGGAATGTTACTGAGGGGGGCAGAAATTTTCATGTGCTGGTGAGGGAAGTACAAATTGACTAATGTTTGTGAAAAAACAGTTGGGCTCTATCTAATAGGGCCGAACAATGTGTTCACTGTCAGAATGTCTGTAATTCTCCTTCCAAATATGTACCCAGAGGAACATATACACATGTATGCAGCATAGATGTGTAGAATGTGTAACAGTGTCTTTTTATAATAGACCCAAACTAGAAATGTTTGGTCTAAAAAAACTAAGTGCCCATCTGTGGTAGAATGTGGAAATCACTGGTGGTATATCCATACAATGGCTGAATCACATACCATATGAAAATATAAATGAATGCGTGAATTATAGATACATGCGACAATGTGGATAACTCTCACAAATAGAAGGCTGAGCAAAAGAATGCAATGCTTCTATTTCTAAGAAGTTCAAAGACTAAGCTCTGTTGTTTAAGGATGCATTTAGAGGTGGTGAACTTTAAAGAAAAGCAACATTATAATAAAAGGCAGAATAATAGAGAGGTGAGAAAAGGTCAGGATCAAGGAGGGACACACTGTGGGTTTCTGGGGTACTATTCTGTTTTCTGCCTGGATAAGGTAATGTAGCTATTATTTGTTAAACTGAAATGTGTATGTATATATTTATACATAGGTACATAAATATAATACATGTTATATACATATTACTATATATACATATTGTTTCCCAATGAAAGAGAAGGAAAAATTTCACTATGAAAAGCTTAATAAAAAAGAATGGTTCAATCAACATAGTAAGTGTTGAGGAAATTTCTGTTCATTAAGGGGTACATGTCAATACTATATGTAAAAGCTTTCTTTCTAAAAAAATATTTCACTTAATGTTTATTAAGTGCTTCTTTTCTTATCCATTTTGAGAAATTCTACCCTTTAACCTTTTTCTACCACTTTTAGGAAATAATTCTCAATCTATAGGTTCAAAACTTTGGCTGTTGTACAGATTGGGCCATTCAATTTATGTGATTCTCAATAATTTGATGAGCTCCATAATCAATAAAATTCTGTTACTGTCATGTAAAAAAAAAGAGTGGCTTTTATGTTACTTTTAGATTGTGTATTTATGATTAACTTTTTGCTTGTTTTTAAGAGGTTCTTTATTTCTTACCTATGAAGTTCTGGCCTTGAAGAAATCTTTGACATTAGATACTCAAGTAGCAGAAAGAGAAAAAATGAAGTCATATATATACGTGCACAAAGTTTCTTCAGATAAAAGAGAAAACCATGGTAAGTTTATGGTGAAGTAATTCTGTGAAAAATGGAAGCTAATTTGGAATTTTAAAATGAGTATTTAAAACATCATATTAACAAGATAGGTTCGGCTACTTCTAAGACTCACCAAACCCTGTATGAACCAAATTCCTAAAGAATTCCTTGAAGGCCAAATTTTGGACTTTCACTCTCCCATAATGAAGTGAAGTGAAGACTAGTCAGTTGTTTTAGTCTAAACTGACAGTTCCGTTTCTTTGCGGGGGCCATCAGTTCAGAGGCTGGCCCTCAGGGTGGCAACTAGAAAAGCATGATTTTGTCTCTGCTCAGAGATACTCTGCTTTCAGGGATTTATTCATGCAAACAAAACTCATGAAATGGATCCATGAATATGAATACCAACTGGCTTGTTTACAGAGAGAAAAACCTGTTACAAAGCCTGGAAAAACCTGTCCTTACCAGTCAGAACATTCCCCTTTGCCACATTTAGGTCACAGGGAAACCTAATACCTAATTAGTAATCAGACAGTTGCTTGGTGAATGTGAAATTTTAGGGCAGAGGAGTATCTTTTTTTTTTTCTTTTCGGTATCATTAATCTACAATTACATGAGGAACATTATGTTTACCAGACTCCCCCCATCACCAAGTCCCCCCCACAAACCCCATTACAGTCACTGTCCATCAGCATAGTAAGATGTAGAACAGAGGAGTATCTTTTTATCAAGATACAGGTAGCCCGGTGACTGAAGCTGCCTGTTCCTCCCTTGTCGGCCAGAATAACTGTGCCGTTAGCACGTTATGTTCCCTGAGAGGAACTGCTCCCTGGCTCTGAGCTGTATCTATCCCACTCTGTCCTGTTTGTTTTAATTATTATTCCAGTTCCCTGTTTTTCAGCATGCTTTTATGGTGTGCTACAATTTCAATTACACAGATAACTTTTACGGCTTATAAATTATCTATGTATTGAAGTTTCATCTCCTTAGTAAGGTATCTCCAAATTTCAGTTTGAGGAGGGCTATTTTTAAGGGATATTTTCCTGAATGTAGTTAATCCTATGTCACATATGAAGATTTGTGTTGGCTTTAGAGAGAGAGAGTTTTTTGTTTTTTTGTTTTTTCTTTCTTTACTTTTTCCCTGACTTGGAGAGCATTCTCATTTTGGAACCTGGAGTTCTATGTACCCATAATGATCTTAGTTGCTTTAATAGTGACAATAAAAAGCAAAAAATGCTATTTTGTTTTCTTTTTGAATAAATTTGGAGTTTAGTTTATATATTTCTCTTTGAAATATTGGAGTATAGCATTAAGAGTACATACTTAGTTTGATTTAAATTTGTTATCATTTTAGGACTCACCTACCAGGCAAGAAAAGAGCTTCACAAAGCAGTAAGAAAGGTGTTGGCAACATCAGCCAAGATATTGAGGGGTCCCTTTGCTGGTAAGTGTCAAATATTTAACTTGGAATCCTTGTCAGGAGTCTGACAATCATTTGATGATCAACCTGAGATTTTTTTTCCATTTTTTATACTAATATTCATTATAGCTATTGAAAATTGAGTAACACTAAATTTAAGTTTAAGAGCTTGATGCCTCCTTGGACAGTTTTCTTCCATCCTTGGGGAAGGATGGTTGTCTTGTTACATGGTTATAAGTAATTATTGAAACTTAATACACCTTCTTCTCTTGATGAGCATTTCAAAATCTATAATTTGTTAGGAAAGCACTCCCATGCTTTCTTAGAATATTGCATCACAAATGTAGATTTCACTGCCAGGTAAATCTATAAAGTGGAGCTAGCTGTGAAAGAGCTTTGAAAAGTTCCATCATGAAAGAGAAAATGAGGGGAAAATTCTAGAATTAAAAGATGCTAAGGAGACTTAAATCTTGGTTTTAAAAAATAGTTCTATTGATTGGAGAAATCTATATATGGAATTAGGCTGGATTTTAGATGATTTTGGAAGATTTTCACTAATGTTCTTGGGTGTTATGATGGCATTGTGGTTATATAGGAGAATACAGACTGAACTATAAAAAGTAAAATGTTATTATGCCTGCAACTTCCTTTCATATAGTTCAGAAAAAAATACACATACATATAGATTAAGCAAATATGGCAAAATAATATCCCTTTTTAAATCTAATTGTGGTAAGCATATGGGTGTTCATATATTCCTTTAATTCTTCCATATGTTTGCTATTTTTCACTGTAAATTTTTTAGGGAAAAAGAGCCAAAAAAGACCACAATGTGAAAGCAATATAGTATATAAAACAAAAGCACATACTGTAATATGCATAATAAATTAAATAATAAGACAACCCTAAGAACAAAGCTGTCAGTCATTATCAATACCTGGAAGTGGATTTAACTCTGCTGTTACAGATTTCAAATATGTATAAATTACCTTCTTAAATGTGATGATAAAGATGTGGTTTTAACTGTTCACACTGTTCACAGTATTTTGTTTTTGATTTTGTTCTTCCTTTTGCAGATACTTTCAGTACAGTTGATGTGGAAGATCATGAATGCGCCGTGTGGCTGCTCCTGAGGAAGAGTAAATCGGAAGACAGGACAGCGCGCTTGCAGGCTGTGCAGGAAATGTCAGAGGCCCATCACTGGCTCGGTAAGACACCATCTGAACACATCGCACATCACCCGCTGGTTCTGACTTTCTCATCTAAAAGGGGAAGGAGATTTGATGGAAGGAAAATAATTCAGGAAACCTTAATATATGTAAAAAATATTTTCAGAAACTTTAGAAAGAAACTCTAGTGGTAAAGTACAAAATCTGCTGGCTTCATTGCCAAATGAATTTGGTAAGAACAGCCTCCACACTGAGGTTGATATATTTGTGTAACTGTCCACCAGAATAGTTTTACTTGATTGGAGAAATTTCTTGATTCTGATAGTTTAGGCCTAATGTTGTGTTTGCATTTTCTTTTGGTTCCTACTTAATGAAGCATATTTTAATTGCTTGCTACTCCATAAATTATCTTTGCTTTCATTTTGATATCTATTTGGCTCTAATACTAATAACTAGTCAAATGTAACTGATTTGTGTGTGTATCATAATTTAAGGGAGATTTAAAGTATTTAATTTTACTTAAAAACCACAAGTTGTACAATAAATGTGTATGAGCAAGGGCTTAGATCTGTTCTGATTATAGTACAGGGACTAAAGTAGACTTTGTTAGTAGAGTCATAAAAATGGGTAAACAAAAACATACAATGTTTTCAAAGAAAAGTTCAGAATAAGATCTCTGCTTCCATACAATTAGTTGATTGAGTGGTGACTATATTTATAATTTATAAATAAAAGCTTACGTAAGGTAAGTGGAGACTTAGAATAAAAAACCTTTCTCAAAATGTGCCTTCCAGGACTCCATTTCAGACTTACTGTATCAGAAAAGTCTGAGTTGGAGCACTGCCATGCAGATTTTGAAAAAGTTCCCCACTTGATCTGGAGAACTCATCTATGTTATGAATTGCTATTATTAAAAGTAATGTCTGCTTCAGTGGTTGCAGTTTGTTTTTGATACATGTCTTAGTCGAATTGGGCTGCTATAACAAAATACCATAGCTGGGGGCCTTATAAACACCAGAAATTTATTTCTCATAGTTCTGGAGGCTTGAAAATACAACATCAGGGTGCAGGCAGATTTAGTTTCTGGTGAGGTCCTGCTTCTTGGTTCATAGAGGGCTGACTTTTCACTGTGTCCTCACATGGCAGAAGGGACAAGGGAGCTCTCTGGGGTCTCTTTCATAAGGGCACTGTTCTCAGTTATGGGGGCTCCACCATCATGACCCAATCACCTTCCTAAAGCGTCACATTGGGGATTAAGTTTCAACATGGGAATTTGGGGGAGAGGAGACAAAACATTAAGTCTACAGCCATACATAAAGAATGAAATGGTTAAATTATGAAGGGTAAAACAAAGCACCACCATCCAGAACCTCAGATTGTTCACAGGTACCAGGAAATGCCAAAGCCCCAAACTGTTACCAGGGGGCACTAGATCTAAATAGAACCTCAGGTTTTTTGAGTAGTGATCAGAACACCTTTTGAATACTGGAATTATTTTTCTGCAAAAGGAGAAGGTGTTAAATTAGTTCTGACCTGTCAGTTTTCACATTTGAGTTTCATTTTTTCAAAAAGTTTAGACTGTGATATTCCTAGACATATATTGAGAACTGCGAGATCAGTCATGGAAATGTTGGGTGTTTAGCTTATTGGAATTATAAGTGAGTTTTAGTTGTGGAAAAAAGCTTAAGAGATTTTGAACTATAAACTTATAGTTTAAAAATCCAGTCATTCATATAATCCTTTAAAACAACATATATCTTTACAACAGATTACCAGTATAGGATAATTGCTCAAGCCTGTGACCTGAGAACTCTCATTGGTTTGGCACGAAGCAAAGAGAGTGATCTTCGCTTTTTTCTCCCACCGCCTCCTTTGCCATCTTTAAAAGAAGTAAGTAAATAAATAATCCATTGAGTGAAAAGTAGTTTAATATAGTGTCTCCACTTTGGGTATAGAATAACCATCCAAAAGCGGTTTGTTGGTTACTTTTCACAAGCTTTTTAAACAAGAATGTAAACCTGAAATTGTCATTTCCATACAAAGATATCTTGATTCCTCTTATATTATTTTCCCCTTTTGGGGATTGAGCATCTCCATTACTCCAGAGGGTAACTTCATAGGATATCAATGCCTGTGAATTGGTCCCTTGCTCTGAGGTTGCTGTAGATCAGTTTTTCTCAACCTCAACACTAAAGACATTTTGGGCCAAATAACTCTTTGTTGCTGGGGGATGTTCTGCACATATTAGGGTGTTTAGCAGGATCCCTGACATCTACTCCCTCCCCATTTGTAACAACTAAAAATGTCTCCAGATACTGCTGAATGTTTCCTGGGGTGCAAAACAGCCCCTGGAGAACCATGACTTGGATATTAGTGTATTACTCAACAGAGAGTAACTAACCCCTACATTTAGATACTAATGTATTACCCTATATGTATAGTAATTAACCATTACATACAGATACTACCTCCTGAGTACCTCTTGTACCTCTGTTACTCCACATAAGTCATAGTTACTAACCACTACTACAGATATAAGGGCATTTTTCTTGAGCTTTTCTAGAAAATGAAAATCTGAAAACTTGGAATCTGTTTTTGAAAAATAGAAAAATGAATATATGAGACCTAAGTTATTAAATAAAACCAGGCAATAGCAAGTTTTGCATTTTAAAAGCTAGCTTTAGTTAGAAAAAGTATAATAATTCATTTTCAGTCAACATGTGAAGTAGCCTATGAGGTGAAAATCTAGAGCTATACTTTGCAATAGGTCTTTCAGATTGAGGTAGCAGACATGAAAGTATAATATTAAAAATTAAATGATTTGCTGTTTACCTGGGTGGATGACTGTTTCCAAGGCTAATAGCACTAATTTATCTCTGCTGGTGTGTTTTGGGTTTTTCTGCTTTAATTCTTCAAGTACTGCTTGTTGTACTCAGTTGTTGAGCTCAATAATGAATTTCTTTTCTCTTATTTCAGGATTCTTCTATTGAAGAAGAGCTCAGGCAGCTGCTGGCTTCTTTACCTCAAACGGAGCTAGATGAGTGTATCCAGTATTTTACATCTTTGGCTCTGAGCGAAAGCAGTCAAAGTCTAGCTGCTCAGAAGGCAAGTTCATTTATTCATTTAGTAAATATTTTCATGTGCCCTCTTTTTCTAAGATACTGTGCCAGGGGTTAGCACTAGCCAGGGGCTAGAACCTTCAAATAGTCATTCATCCAGAACTGAATAAGCATACTGACTCCTGGCCATGTGTCACACACTGGGGTAGGTGTTGGAGATACAGATCCTAAAATAAAGGAGTATATAGGAGAGGTACAAGTCACACTGTGAACCCTTCACTCTGCTTAAGAGTCATTTAAGCTTCACAGGAAGTAACTCTGAAGTTGCAGCTTGAAGAATGAAGAGATAATAATTTACAAGGTTTTAAATATCACCTGTATGCTGCCAACAGAAATTGATACCTGTAGTCCTGTGTTCTAACCTAAGCTCCAGATGTGAATATTTAGCCTTCTACTTGATGTCCTTACTTGGGTGTGTAGCCGTCCCAGATTTAACATGTCCAACTCGCCCTCCCTCCACGAAGCTCTTCCTCCTCTGGTCTTTTTCATCTCAGTAAATGGCATGGCATTCACCTAGTTGCTTAAGCTAAAGATTAGGAACTCTTCCTGATTCCTTTCTTCCTTGTTCAGCTAATTAGCAGTTGCTGTAAGCTGTCCCTTCAAACATACCTCGAATCCATTTGTCTCACCATTGTCACTGTAGCCACCTACTCCTGGCCACCATCATCTCTTCTTCATAATATCCTATTCTTTCATCTTGGCCTCTACTCTTTCTTTCATTTTAAAATAATTTGAAAGTCTCTTGCAGAGTCTTCTACCATTTTGGTGTGTTACTGGGGGGTTAATTCCAGTTTGTGCTGCTATTGACCGCCTTACGTGAGACTGTAGATTAACATGGGTTACGCGTTTCACAGTGGGCGTATCTCTAGCTGAACTGATTATTGTCTATGGGGTCTCACACACCCTGGATCGTACATTTGTCCCTACAGAACAATTTTTGTGTTTGCTTCTGTTGGATACCCCAGGAGTTTTACTGTTATCATAGTAAGTTTTTTACTTACATTCTCTAGTTTGGAATTTCTATAGCACATAGTATAAAATCAGATATATCTGTAGGTGACATATTCTTAGAATTGTGTTTTCTCATGCAGAGCCCCAGGCAGAAAGAGAGAAGCTTTCTTGTTGAGTTTTTCTACGTCTTTTTACAGAGGAAAGGCAATTCTTCCAGAGCCCTGCCTTTATCTGAGGATCTCAAATCTAGTTCCCATAGAGTAGGACCCAAACCCATTTCTCCTGCACTGAACAAATATTACAATCCCACCCCAATGGACCCACAGGCATTTTACATCATCAGCTGTGCGCTCACCACTTCTGCTGAATGTTCTGTTTTTAATTCCAGCACCCAGCTATGTTTTAAAATAGCTTTTCTTGTATTTTATCAAACATTTTTACCTGTGTGTAGTGAAAGGAGATCAGTAGAAGCCGAGGTCACCACCACCCCACTGGATCCAGAAAGTATCCTCATCATGTCTCTATATGGAGCTACCACAGCCAGCGCCTTACTTGTGTCTCCAGTTCCATGTCCTCACAGCAGCCAGAGTGATTCTTTAAAAACATGAATGAGATCCAGTCATGCTCCTGCTTAAAGCCTTCCAAATGGCTTCGCATTATGTGTTAAACCTGTGCCCCTTCCCTTTTATGAGCGAGGCATGGACTGGCCCTTGTTTATCAGAGTGACTTCCCCTAAGGATGGTGGTGAGATTGACAGGAAGGTGCCAGTGGGCCTGGTTAGAGGACGTGAAGTTTGTTGAGTGGCAGATGGGTGTGACACCCGCAGGAGACCACAGCACAGGTCAGGAAGCTCAGCTTGCCCTGCAGTCGGCGCCGTCTCCGAGCTCTCAGTGCCCAGCGTGCTCCTCTTGGAGGAAGATTGCCTTCAGATGTGGACGGCCATTCTGACAGAGCGGTTTATGTTCTCTCGCCCGTACCCCATACTACTGCTGCTTCAGCTATGGGCCCATTCACTAAATGCAAACAACTGGCAGAAAACTACCCCCACACAGGGCAGAGAGCTTCCTGCAAGTGAACGAAAGCTCAGTGTCCTGAACAGACTCCAGCTCTGGCCCACGCGAGGGAAGTCACTGAATCCCAGTATTCTTGTGGTTATCAGCTCAGTAAGTTTTTGTTTTCATAAAACGTCTCATATCTCTGAGAAAAATCAAAAGAAATTACTGGCACTGTTACTACAGTAACTCTATAATCTACTTAGTAAGGGGAAAGCATTTTATCAGTACAACCAATCATAGTATTCTATATTCTTTAAGCAATTAGTGCTTTGTCTTTTTCTCATTTCCCTTTTCATGAGAAATTAGGGACTCATCAGTAGATAAGACTTCTCTCCATTCCTAGAAATTGCCAAGTGTTGTATCTACTTGTGTTCCCCTGCCTGGAGTGTTTTGCCACCAGCTTGTCACATGGTTGCCTCCTTGTCCTTCAGGTCTTGGCCTGTCAGCTCCTCAGAGAGAATGTCCTCTATATCTCATATGTTTATTGCATTTGTTGCCTTTCACAGCATTTATTCCATTCTGTTATTGTTTTATACATTTTCTTGCTTACTCCTTTTATTCTCTTCCAGTAGTCTCTAATCTCCCCCGTACCTTTTACAGCATCTCATACACAATATGCTCACAGTAAATATTGAATAATGAAGGGATGAATCATAGCATTGCTGAAAGAGCCAGCTTTGCACAAACTTATACATACTTAAATTTTAACTGGCATATTTTTGTTATGAGTCAAAGTTATTTTTGTATGACAGATAAAAACAGAGGTAACTCTAAGGGTTATGTTTAATTAGTATGTAGACTATATGGTAAGAAAATATTCATTATGTATTAAATCATTCTGTTGGAATCAAATGTTGAAATGCATTTGAAAAATACTATGTTAACTCATAGTAATGTTGGACCTCAGTTTGCGTAACATAATAAAAAATTATACATAAAATGCTTTGTTATACATCTATAATTAATATATAATATGTATATAAGTTCTTTAGTAACTTGATTAGTTGACATTTCTTATGCTTTATTATTGCCTTTTTAATTTTTATAACTTACCCTTTACTATTGATTTTAACATTGTCACTGTCCCCCCCCTTTTACTGTGTGCTTTTTTGACCCTTCAGAAATTGTTTTTTAGTTGGACTTATGGAATTTGATATGTGGCATTTCTTAAATCTTTATGAATTTATTTGATCTTGCTATATCTTAATCCAGTGATAAAGCAACAGTAACCTGTGTATATATATATTTTTGTCAGAAGTTATAATATAATGCATACAACCACACCATGAGTTTATACCTTTATATTCACTCCTTTTTGCTTGTGCTTCTTATGCCACACAATCTGCCAGGTCAGAAATTATTCAAAACTTTTCTAACAATGAGGATGGAATTGGAACTGCACTCTTATATCCCACCTGAGAAATGATCAAGCAAAATGAAAACTAAACCATTTTTCCTCTTCCTTCTCCCCATTTTTTCATGGAGAATTTAGGTTAGAAAGAGGTCAGATGATTTGCCTGTGAGAGGTGGGAAGAGGGATTTGGGGGAGGCAGGTTGTGGTAGTAGGTGTTGAAGAAAAATTCCCTTCTCCCGAAGCCTACCAGTCCACTATTTACCTTATCCGTGCTAGAAGGGGGAGTGGCTTTCAGTGAGTTAGTCCCTTCCCAGTTCTCCATTTAAATAGTGAGACTCTTGAGATTCAAGTATGTTTAAAATTGGAAAAACAGAATGTTATATCAGAAAGGATGGCATGAATAAGAATTATGAAGTGGACATTTAGAACATCTACTTCATTTACTGAACCATGGACCCTATAAATAAACTTAAAATGCAGAAATTTCTGGACTGTGTTTTCTCCAGGAAACCCTGGGCTTTATATATATATTTTGAAAGACATCACCTTGCAGTTGTCCTCTTTTGCCAGCAGGTGGTCTGTATGCACACAATTGTGACCCCTAGTTGAAAAGGAGATACATTAATAAGTCTTCCTTCCATCCCTTCCATGTCCCCTGCCCTGACTCACCACACACACACACACACACACACACACACACACACACACACGTAGTTATACACACTTTTTACCAAATGGTAGCCTGTGGTGCACATTCTTCTGCCCTTTCCATTGCTCATTTAAGGGTTTATCTTGGAGATTGATATCTGTCAATATGTGAAGAGACTCAAAACTTTTTATACTCACATAACATTCCACTTTACAGCGATATCATCATTAAACCAACCCCCAATGATGGATAATAGGTAGTTTCAACCTTTTTTTTAAATTAAAGTATTATTGATATACAATCTTAAGAAGGTTTCACATGAACAACACTGAAGGTTTCAGCATTCACCCATATTATCAAGTCCTTCTGCTCCACTGCAGTCACTGTCTATGAGCATAGTAAGATGCTATAGAGTCATGACTTGTCTTCTCCATGCTGTACTGTCTTCCCCGGGACCAGTAATTTCAATCTTTTGCTGTAACAAACAATGCTGAGGTAAACAAACATGTACCTATGTCCCTGCTTGTGTGTGAGTGGCTCTAAATTGCTGAAGGGCATGGCACCTGTAATCTTGACAGCTGTCACTACGTTGTCCTCCAGAGAAGTAGCCTCACTGATACCACAAGCAGCAGGGTGGGGATAATGCCCGTTTTTCTGCCTGTTTGATAGATGCAAAATGTCCTTTCTCATGCATGCCTCTCATATGGGCCATGTTGGGTGTCATTTCACACATTTTACAAGCATTATATTTCTTCCTAAGAACTTTCTGTGTAGGATTGTTGCTAATTTTTTTCCACAGCACTGTTGGCATATTTTTCTCACTGGTATGTAGGAGATTATTGCCTATTTGTGACATTAGCCCTCGATCTCTGATAAGAGTTGAAGTGTCCTTTCCTTCTCAGTTTATTCGTACTTTTTGGTATCTGTTTAGGGCTAGCCCCTACTATTCTTCTGTTTCATAATTTTCTTAATCATCTGTTTATTCTTCCATATGAACTTGAATTCCAATTTAGGATGAATTAAAAACTCTCTGATCATTGTCATTGTTGTATTTTAAAATTTTCCAGTAATGTCTTTTCTCTTTTTTATTATTTTGGTGAACAGGCTTTAAATAGACTCTGCTAGCATAATGCAACACTAGAAACTCTAACCAGTCCTGCATTTTTCTTCCTGGATGAAGAATTGTGTTAGTCTTCATTCTTGCAGATAAGAGGACACAGAAGAATTGAGAGAGACTCAAAGATTGTCCTCATCTAGAATAATTCCTTCTGTGTCCTATTCTAGTAGGCAACAGTTTGCATAACTAAAGTTCCCTTTATGGTTCCAAAATGTTTTATAAAACAGAGAGATACTTTTGTCAAACAGAAAATATTAGTCACTTTTTTCAGTAAAAATTTTAATTCTCTAACTTTCAGGGTGGCCTGTGGTGTTTTGGAGGAAATGGACTTCCTTATGCTGAGAGTTTTGGAGAAGTTCCTTCAGCTACAGTGGAAATGTTCTGTTTAGAAGCTTTAGTAAAACATTCTGAGGTAACTTACATTTTCAAAATATGATTTACTCTTTGTGATCACATTGAAAAAAATCATACAAATTGATTCACACAAGGGAAATAATCCTTATTTTTTGTAAAAGCTTTTTGCTTGTTTTAAAATTTCTGCTTTTCCCCCATCTAATTGTTAGAACTGCAAACCATGATTTAGCACCAGTGCATGAATTTTATTTTCATCAAGTATTTTGAAAAATGTATTTAATCTTAATTTGCATAAGAAAGCAACCTGTTGTCTAATTATGGAATTTACCTTGTGAGTTACATTGTCCCTGGTATCTTTCTCAGATTATTACCAGGTAGTTAATTTCCAGTAAAACATCTGCCAAAGATGTAGCAAAAAAGAAAAGAAAGTAAATATTTGGATAACCATACTCTTGAATTTTAACTAAGCATGTATCAATGATTTGTTAGCATTATGACAACTTTTCTATCATGATCATAGTTTGATTTTTTAAAGAAAAAAACAGTAAACTTTGTGGTGCTCAAACATCTGTGCATAAAAATTAACCAGGAAGCATGTTAAATTTTTAACATTTCTTGCTCGCCTCTAGCAATTTTACTTAGTAGGTGGGGAGTTCAGGAATTTACATCTGTAACAGGCTCATAAGTGGTACATCCTACATCATGAGAAACACCATCCTAGGGATTCTAAATTGTCCAGTTTAATTTTGGGAGCCTTAAGACATGGTCCAAAAGCATGCTGGGCTCTAGTCATCTTTAGTTCCCCTGGTGGCATTAGGATTCAGGCACTGAGCAGAGTTACTAGTGTTGTAGTTCAAAAGGGAACATGGGAAAATGAGCTTGAGTTTTTGTGACTTATGACTAGTTTCTGAAGCAATAGGTGCATTTTCAGTAGAAAGTACAGTACATGGAATTCAATAGTTGCCTTTCTAGAAACTTCTCAAGGTAACATATCTCACTTGATGTATGTCTAAAAGGCATACTTTTACATGCATGTAAAATGTGATAAAATTTAATTGTTTGGAGAATGAAAATTATTGCATATATGTGATAAATTAGTGATGGGAAGAGGCAAGGCCAGGTAGACTGTAAGGATGTGTTGATCATTCTGTCACCTTAATATTACATTGCATTTTTTGACTTTCTTTTATTCTCCATTCAACACTCACACACACACCCTTTTTTTTCTTTTTACTTGTTTTTTCTCTTTAAAACAATTTTCCAACTCCTCAGTTTTAGGATAACCCCACAGATGCTACTTATTTCTACCTGGGAGTTCTTGAGTACAGACAAAAATCTACCTCTTGCACAGGGGGTTAATTCCTGTTCAGATGGCAGGTTTTTCAAGGATAGCTAGTTTCAAGCCAATCAAAGTATCACTATAAACTGAAACTGTTCTGCAATAATGATACTGTCAGGTTACCTCCAACCTTGAGCTAAGCAGAGTAACTTTAAGAATAAAAATGTGAACAGTCCTGATGAGACATACCTTAATTTCTTCAGTGTTTGGAAACACTCTCAGGTAGACAGGGCTGCTTATTTAAGCAGAGGTGAGAGTTTCGGGCGGTCTCTTTGGGTCTCTGTTCTTGAGCAGAAGCCACCTGGCTGCCCCACCAGCATGCTGTGTCACCTGGTTAGTGAATTTGTACAACAAAGTGAGCTGTCATTAATTTATTGTGCTAGATACCCACACATTGTGATCAAATTGAAGCAAACGGAGGCTTACAACTACTTCAGAGGCTGTACCAACTTCACAAGGACTGTCCTAAAATACAGAGAAATATAATGCGTACCATTGGAAATATGGCTTTGAATGAGCATCTTCATTCTACTATAGTTCGCTCAGGTAATGACTTTCTATACTGAGTATCTTGGATCCAGTCCTTTGTTCCTCCCCCACCTCCACCTCCATGATACATTAATTTTTCAATAGGTTTAAGACTTTGCTTAGGGTTAGTTAGGGGTCCTTAGAGCATGTCATTTTAGTAGGGGCAAAGACATGTGGATAATCCATACCTCAGATAATTGGTGGGTGGACAGTTAAGGAAAGCAGTTTTTGCCACAGTGACCATCTAATTGTTCATATCATCTTTGATATGATATGGTTGGTTACCCAAGAAGCATAGTCAAACTAAAAAGAGGTCCACTGTATAATAAGTGGCCTTCTCCCTTGCAACTAATAAATCATCTATAGGGAGATGCTTGAGACCATGGAAATATCCTGCTCCTCATCTGCTGAGAATTCCTGCCTGACCCAGGCTTTATCATGATGTTTACACAGGGGTAATTTCCCATCTGCAGCCCACCCTGCCCATTTCACGGTGCAGTGGCGTTTGGCATTCTGCTGTAGGAAGAGCCCTTTCTTCCCTCTCCCCCCTCCTCTCCCTCCTCTCTCCCTTATCAGTATGGACATATGGATCCCTATCTAATGGTTTATAACTTACTACTGTCCTTAATAACTTACTGCCAGATTGTCTCAGCCTGTTAGTGGGAGCCTGGCAAACTGGCTCCTGTGTCTCTGTGATATGCCCACATCATTTTGGGAGGCATTCCTTACTGTCCAGTGTAACAGGACGTTCCAGGTGCATTTCGCTGAGGAATCCTGTTTCCTTTTAGTGAGGGTTGATTATCTCCTAGGTGTGCTTATTGTGCCTGGGGTATCTTTCCTTCTTGACTCTTTCAGTGGAAAAAGCAAGGTGACATATACAAGCATATGTACATATACATACAAATAAATATACATACATATGTGCATATGCACAAAGCTGGGTCCCAAGAAGAGAGCCAGGTATGAGCCCTTTGGCCTGTTATAATCAAGCACTGAAAGTAATTTCTGCTGTAATCTTTTGATTAGAAGCTAGTCACTAAGGCTAGCTTGTTATTCAGGGAAGGGAATTTAGAACAAATGTAGACTTATCACCTCTTGATGAGAACAGTATCAAAGAATTTTAATGAAGACATGTTTTAAAATCACTGCAATTACTTTCTAATGTAGGTATTTAATGCTGTAAGTTGCTTCTAACTTACATTAGAGGCATCCTGCAAATTGTAAATATATTATATTTTCATCATTATTCAGTTTGAAATATTTTCTTATTTCCTTTGTGATCTCTTGTCTCATGGGTTACTTAAAAGAGTACTGTGTGTTTTACAAATATTAAAGATTTTCTAGATACCATGTGTTTCTCATTTCTAATTTAATATTCCATGTATTCAGAGAACATACCTTGTAAGATTTTAGTCTCTGTAAGTTTATTGAGACTTATCTGATGGCCCATTTTATGATCTATCTTGGTGAATGTTCTGTGTTCTTGAAAAGATGAGCATTCTATAGTTGTTGGGTGAAGTGTTCTCCATATGACAGTTAAACCAAATTGCCCCGATAGCACTGCTTAAATCTTTTCTAGATGTACACTGCACCTTGTCTAGTTCTGTGTGTCCCTGAGAGGCAGGTTCAGTTCTTCAGCTCTGATTGTGTATTTGTCAGTTTCTCCCTTTAGCTCTGTTAGCTTTTCCTTCCTGGTGAATTCTTTGTTTTTTCTTATTAAGTGGTGTCTCTATCCCTGGTAGTGCTCCTTTCATTTAAGTCTACTCTGGCATTTGCTTTTCCTTAGGCTGCTGTTGGCATTGCAGATTTTATCTTTTTCCCTTCTTCTGCTTTCATTTTTCTGTGACTTTAAGGATAAGTTCATCTTTTGTGGACAGCATATAGTTACATCATTTTTAAAAAGCCCAGTTGGAGAACCCTTGAGCTGGAGGGTTTCATCTCTTCACTTCTAACGTGTTGTTGATCTTGCTCAGTTTGTCTAACGTCTTCCTCCCTTTTTGTCTCCTGTTTCTTCTTTGTTTTCTCCTTTACTGATATTTTTGGGCTACATGAATACTTTTTACATTCTATTCTTTCTCCTCTTATGGTTTTTCATACAATGCTTTTTGTGTATTTTTCATCGTTGTATCTTTATCACAGTCTATCTTGAATTGATATTATACCACTTGGTATAGACTGTGAAGTTCTTACAAGTGAATTCAGCTCATGCTCCCTGCCATCCTTTGCAGTATTATCATAGTGTACTTTACACCTACATGTTATAGAATTTTAAACATATTGCTATTTTTAACTGGCAGGTGATTTTTAAAGAATATAAGAAAAAAAGTCTCTTCCATTTACATATTTGTAATCTCCAGTGCTCTTCTTTACTGTGTATCTACATTTACATCTGATAACATTTTCCTTCAGCCTAAGACCCTGGTCTGCTGGCAACAAATTCTCTCACTTTCCTTTTTCTGAAAGTGTCTTTACTTTGCCTTTATTTTATTATCTAGGAAAAGATGTTTTCCGTGGATTAAAATTCTTCATTGACAGTGTTATTTTTTCTGTCAACACGTTAAAACTGTGATTCCAATCTCTCCTGACATCTGATGTCTGATGAGAAGTCTCTTCTTATTCCCACCTTGGTTCTCCTATATGTTATATGTCTTTTTTTTCTTTAAGACTTTTGTGTTTGATTTTCAGTGGTTTGTCTATGAAGTGCTTGGATGTCTTTTTTATGTTAACCTGCTCAGGGGCCATTGAGCTGACTGAATCTGTGGGTTGATGGTTTGACCCAATGTGGTAACTTTCCAGCTGGCATATCTTCAAATACTTTTTCTGTCCCCTTTTATCTCTTCTGTTTTTCTGGGACTTCGATTATGTATATTAGGTCTTAGTCCTGTTCCACAGTTCATTGAGAATCAGTTCATTTCTTTCCAAATTGCTTTTCTCTGTGCTTTACTTTGGATGTTTTCTGTCTACTTACCTTCAGTTTCACTAATGGAATAGATACTTGGTCAGATCAGTATTTTATAAAAAAAAAAAAA